GTTCAACTCTGCCCCTCCTGCAAAGCCCATCTCCAAAGTGAATTTATCCACGAAACTTTCCCCTATTCCTTCAACTAAATGTGACTTCTCACTCTTAAGAAGTTAAAATTCCACTACAGAGTCTACAAGCCCATCAATTCTGAACTATTTGTAACCATATGTATAGTTACATGAGATTAAAAGCAATCTTTCAAACCTTAGTATATGAAATGAGTATTATTTCAGGTGATAATCTCTATTAAATTGAATATGCTATGATTTCTTCATTTGCTTCTAGTGTAAAAGAAAGTTGAATTCCTGGCTGTCTGCCGAAAGCTTTACAAAATCACTAAGTATGTTTTTTTTTCGATTATTTTTTTTTTTTTTTTTTTTTGAAACAGAGCCTCAAGCCGTCCCCCTGGGTAGAGTGCCATGGCATCACGCTCACAGCAACCTCCAACTCCTGGGCTCCAGCGAGTCTCCTGCCTCCGTCTCCCTAGTAGCTGGGACCACAGGCGCCCGTCACAACGCCCGGCCATTTCTTGGTTGCAGCCGTCATTGTTGTTTGGCGGGTCCGGGCTGGGGATTCGAACCCGCCACCTTAGGTGTACGTGGCTGGCGCCTTAGCCGGTTGAGCTATAGGCGCCGAGCCCGATTATCTTTATTGCTATTTTGGAGCTCAAATTTTCTCTCAGGCAGGCCCTAAAGTACAGTTTTTGGAATGATCTCTGCTTTCAATTTTCAGTATTTTAGAAGATTCTAAACATACCTTTAAGTTTTATGAGATAGAAAATGGTTATGGATTTAGATTTGGTATCTATGATTTCTGTTTTGGATACCATCATACATTTCTTTGAAAACCAGGCAAGCACTTGTTTTTGTTTATTGACTCATTACATAGCTTAGAAGTCCCTTGGTGTCAGGATCACTATAAGGTGATATTGAGTGTACCTCGTGATGTAATGCCTTTGGCCAGTATTTCTAGCACATAGGAGAACAGATGGGTTTTTGAGATATTAGTTGTATCTAATGGCCCAATTGAAGTGAGCAGTCTGCTGTTTATTGAAGATTTTTAAAAGTTATATTTGTGAGAGAGTAAATCAGTTTTATTCTTTAGAGGCTAGGAAGAAAAAAGCAGAGCTGATGTGGATATGGTAATTTTCTTCTAATGATAGTATTTTCAGATGATTCAAATATTTTGAGGTGGAGTGAACATTTTATTACAGTACTATTTCACTTTGAAATGAAGAAGCTAAGACTCACGGAGTTTCAATCACTCACAACTTTTTGAGAATAGCGAGAATGTTAAACATCAGGGGAAAATGTCAATGATAAATGCAGATCAAAATAAACTACATCAAAAAACCCCAAACAATCTCCTTCCTGCCTCATACATGAACCTTTTTGGTAACCGAGTTTATATTCCACCAAACTGTTTTTGGTTTTGATCTAGGTCTCAGAATCTTCTTTTCTTTTTTCAATCACAATTAAAGCATTTTGAAAAACAGAAATCCTTTCATTCATACATTTGACTGTCCAAATCAAAGGTTCTCAAACATTTTTGTGCTGTGGACCCTTTTGGTTGGTTGGTGAAAACCACATTTTCAGAATAACATTTTTCAATGTACAAAGTAAAATATATGAGATTAAAAGGAAAATAAATTGTACTGAACTGCATGAAAATATTACAAAGTACATTTGTGATAGCATAATATATATGCACACATTATTATCTTTTTTTTTTTTTTTTTTTAGAGACAGTGTTCTTTGTGTGTGTTGCCTAGACTGGCCCCTGAGTCCTGGACTCAAGGGACCCTCCTGCCTCAGCCTTCTGAGTAGCTGGGACAAGAGCCACCTCGACTCACAGCTCTGTATTTACATTAAGTAGTAAGATCTAAAAATAACTAACAAACTCAATAATAAATAAATAAGTAGCGAGATCTAGCAATAGTATCAAGACTACTATATTTTTAAAGTCGTGAACGTCAGAGCAATTTGAGAGACCTGCAGCAACTCCAAGATGAAAATATCTGTTATTTCTAGCAGTGTCAGTCTTAGACATTAATAAAATGTACATTTGACTCGGAAGTGATTAAAGATGTAATCTGTTTCTCATCCAAGTTCAAGGATCTTATATTTGTTTCCCTAGTGGCTCCTGAGTGCCCGCCCCCTCCTGGTGTGGTGGCCCCTCCAACACTGACTGGGATTGGTCGTGTGACATCAAACAATGGCTTGTGCTCTGGGCTCTCTTTTGAAAGGGATTTCATCACAAGAAGAAACCTAATCCAACTTTTTTGAGGATGGAAGAGAACAAGAGGCATCAACTTACCGACACTCGAACTGAAACCAATCACCCAGTCACATACATCAAGCAGACTAGACTGGCAACATGCAGAATTCTGAGAAATAATAGCCAGAGTCTATTTGAAGCCACAAAGTTCTGGGCCATTTGTTGCTCAGCTTACATAACTGATACGGACCCCTGAATTCTGCCTTCTGGCCTTGGGACTCAAGACTTAGAACCACTAGGAGTATTTTGCACTATGTGTATCCGTACACTTTGTTTAGAGACACTTAGCTCCACACAGGGCGGGTCACAAACCTGCAGCATCCTTACTTCCCCAAGCTTCCTGGCAAAGCTTCCTCCCACACCTACCGAATATGAATCTGCAGTTTTACAAGACCCCCAAGTGATTCGCATTCAAGTTTTCAAAATTCCTCGAAGTATGCACGTTAAAGACTGAATTGAGCAAACCCCTTACTCTTCCCTTTCAGAAACGTCTTTCACTCTCCTGTAGAAATATTCTTTGCTACGTGTTGGTCGGGTCTGCAGCGAGATGAAGCCTACTGCCTTCTGTTCAGGAGTGCTGGGGTGGGTCTAAAGTCAGTGGGGCCGCGATGTCTTGCTTTGAGTCAAACAGTATTGCTGCAGATGGACGGTGGCGGGGGTGGGGCTAAACGCTTGTAGGATGCAGGAAATACGTTTAAAAAAATCAATGAATGAAAACTTATTAACTACCAATAAATCCCTAGACACAGTAAATTGCTTTAATGAATTAACTAGAACTCCTCCCCCCAAATTTAATTCTGTTGATCATAAGAATTTAGGTAGTGTCTTGAGCGCCGAGACCCTTCCCAGCCACTTGGCCCGGGAAATCCAGCGCAGGTGTAGCGGTCTCCCCTCTGCGCAGAAAGGCTGCGGGCTCAGTTTGTCCCCACGCAGCTTCCATATAAGGTAGGCCACGCCCCTGCCCAGGGCCGCCAGGGCGCAGCTGGGCTCCCTGCCGGGATCCTCCAACCAACCCGCCGAGACTGCGCATGCTCAGCTCGCTGGCCTGCTCCAATGTTAGGAGCGCCGGGATTTCCCGCCGCCTGCTTGTTGAATCCGCACTCAGCTCCGTGGGGATAGACGAGGAAAACCCAGGGCTTTCAGGGCTTTAGAAAAGAAGGGGGTTGTTTTGATTCGGGGCTGGCGCTGAGGTTCTAAGGAAGGTGATGGGATAATGATTCTCTTTCTGAGTGGGTTACCTATTGTCCAAGCCGGAGTTAGAGTGGGGGCTCACAAACAGGAATGTTGCCTTCCTTGCTTGGATGGGGCCAGGCTGTGAAAGCTTGGCTTCCTGCAGGAGCATTCTCTCCTGCCTTGTCGTGCCTCCTTGATTTGAACAAGGGCCCTGAGACCAGCTTCCAGGAGCCTTAGGAGCGTGAAATACCAACAGGGAAAAGCATGGGGGCAGAACAGCTCTTTGCAGCCCCTTTAGGGACAAGGAGGCCAAGGTTGACCTGCAGATCACAGATATGAACTTGAGAGTGAGACAGTGCATTTAATAGGCTTGCCAGTCATTATCTGTCAGCTTTGGGGCTGGAGGCAGAAGGGTAGGAGTTTGGGGCTGAGCTGGATGGGCGGTTATGTTAAGCCGAGGAAGGCAGGGTTTATGCCTTTGTTAAAGTGACCCACAAGTAACCCAGTGGCTCACAGATGGGCTCCTGGCTGTGTATGAACAATGCATGTATGAATAAATGAATTTATATTCTATGGAACAAGGGAGTGAGCTGAGAGTTCTACCAGAAAACCTAAACTTTAAGATAAGGGCTATCCTCACCCCTCTTATAATTAAACTAACATTACTCAGCTATAACAAAAGTGCAAAACAAGTCCAATTAAAATCTGATTCCAGCTGATATAATGACATTCCTGCTTACATTTAAAACATATGTTATCCTTTTAATTTTCATTTCTCAGTACTCAGAATTGACGGGTCCAGAACACAAGCTTGGACCTCCTTAGGGTAACCGAGAAGGCCCTATTGGAGTTTCCGCAGTTTGTCGGCCTGTAAAATTAACTCATGCACACCTGGGTAAACTCAGGTCTCTGTAAACAGCTGAAGAACTGTTATTGGTAACCTAAGCATAGTCTTTGTTCTGGTCCTAAATTGCTGCATGCCCTCCTCTGGAGTTTTTCCGGAGATGAGGGTAGTTGTAGCTTCGCTGAAATCATGCACTCACCGAGGCCCCAGGACTGTCTCTTCCTCTCTCTGTGACCCCCCCCAGGAGGCGGTGCCCAGGCCCAGAGGCCCCGCCCAGGCGCCGAAGCCCCGCCTCAACCGCGCCGCGCGGCCTCCGTCAAACCCCGGCGCGCGGATCACGCAGGCCGGGGCCGCTCTGGGCATGCTCAGTAGCCTGGCAGGTGGGGCAGCCGCGGAACTCCAGGTCCGGCTCAGTGCAGAGGGGCGGGGGCGAGAGGGAAGTAGGCGGGATCCGCGAGCCGAGTAGCCAGAGTCGTAGGCGGCCACTCGGTTCTGGGCTGGTGGGAGCCCACGCGGGCCAGGCCGGGATGAGCAATGGCATCGGTCAAGGTGGCCGTGAGAGTCCGGCCCCTGAATCGCAGGTGAGTGGGGCCGTCTGCGCCCCGCCTTCTCGTCGCCCTCCCACTCTGAGGGAGCGGGTCTCCAGCTTCGCTCAAAGGCGGCCTGAACTTAAGTGTCACAGGCTGACCTCTCGCCACTGGCCGCTGGCTGTGGCCTCCTGGGGAACCTGGAGATCTGATGTTTTGCTGTGCCTTTTCTTGTTGCCCTGGAGGTAAAGAGTTCACAGGGCCAAGGAGAAGATTCCTATAAACTCTCCCCATCCCATTGACTTGAAGTTTGCCTGTTTCCCCTTTAAAAAGCAACAAGGGATCACTTCCATGAAGATGTGAAACAGCTTGGGGTGGACATGGGAGTTGTTAGGAGCCCCCCCAGGAGCTGTCAGTCTAGCCCCTCCTTTGTGCCAGCTCAGAAGTTCTCTTAACTATTAACCATGCTACTTTTAATGTCTTCAGGAGAGACAGTTTTGATCTTTGACGTAGCAGTTCTTAACTTTAGGTTAAAGGATGGATGGGAAAACTTTGACAAAGTTTTGACTCCTAGAAAAAAGTCAAGGATGCTTTGGACGTGTTTGAAACGTGCTGATTTAAGAGAGAGGAAGGGCTATAAACGCAGAATTTAATCTTGTTATGTATTTCTACAAAGAATGATTTTTGTCTTCATTAACTGAAAAATACTCTGTGCTTCCTTTTCAATGACATTTTTATAATCAGTTTAAAAAGATACTTTGGAAAAGTTACAGGCACGAGCCACTGCTCCTGGCCAAAGCCATCAGTTTTTATTGACTTATCAACTTAATTGGAGGACAGCTGACTTACCACATGGCATTTAGTCATATCAACTTTGTTGAGGTCAATGTTTGATGGTTCTGAGAGCCAATTGGGGCATCAGAAAATTATAAAATCAGGATATTTCCAGAACCTTGTACGACTCATCTGGATGTGTTTTTCTGTTGGCAGGTAGGGAATCATGACTTTGGTTTGTAACCACTGAAAATCAGTGCTTTTAGAAACAGATGCTTTTCAGGATTTTTTTTTTGTTGTTGTTGTTTCTAATGTTATTTAGGGAAAGAGTTTAACTTTTTTGTGTGAACACTAAGAGAATATCTATGTCTTCATGCACGTTCAATCATGGAAGGTGAATAGAGCCTAAAGCCATTTAGATAATTTAAGAAGATTTTTCTTTGTATGTAGAAGTTTACATGTATGTGGAAGTTCTTTTCCTTTGGAATAATGTGAGCACATGTGAAAAAGTTATATCTCATAACTTTAGACAGTGTTTATTAAGCATCTCCCAGATGCCCAGCATTGTGCTGTGTGCCGTCTGGGGTACAGGTGCATGAGTCCTGAGGGGCATCTGCCAGGAGCCCTCAGTCTGGTGCAGGAGGGGCTCTATACTGGCATGACTCTTGTAAAATAGCAGGCCTGCTGGGAGGGGTGCTGTCAGTGGTGCTTTGCCAATTGAGGCCTGGCGCCAAGGTACATGGAGGAATGGCAGGAAACAAGTCCAGAGGTCATGGGTTTTGAGGAGGTAGTTTGATATGATGACGTTTGTGCTCTGTGCAGAGAACTCTGGTGGCAAGAGGTAAGGAAGCAATGATCTGGGCCAGAGGTGGAAATGAGACGGCGGAATTGACAGGATTTGGTAGCTCAGTGGATGGGAAGGAGGGATAAAGGGAGGAGTACAGAGTCATTAACTGAGGTTTGCTGCTCAAGGAGGTGGACAAGGTTAGGGAAGGTGTCTGATGAAGTCAGTGCATTCTCTCTTGGAGTTGGAGTTTTATGAGATGCCCTGAGTGTCACATCTAAGCACAGTGCTCATCATAAGTAGTGCTATGAGCTTGTTTTCCTTGTTCCTTATCTGAAGTGTGGGAAGGACATTTATTCTCTGTGCTTGGGGTGTTCAGTGGATAGTTGAAAACATGGTTTTAGGTCTCAGATAATTTGAGGACTGACTTTGGAAATCTTTTGCGTGTAGTCAACAGTGTAAGAGTAAGGTGATGCTGGATGCAGTGGCTCGTGCCTGTCATCCTCATACTTCGGGAGGCTGAGGTAGGAGGATAGTTGAGCCTGGGAGTTCAAGATAGTCTTAAGCAACATAGAGATTCCATCTTTAAAAAAGAAAAGAAGAAAGAAATTAGCTCGGGGGTGGTGTGCACCTGTAGTCCCAGTTGCTCAGGGCGCTGAGGCAGGGGAATCACTTGAGCACAGGAGTTGAGGTTGCTTGAGCTATGATGACACTGACACCACTGTGCTCTAGCCTGGGCAGTGATCACCAAAAGAAAATAAAAGAATGTTAGTTGAGAAGAAAAGGGAGCCAGGGATTGATTTGGGGTATGTCCCTCTTTAGAATTCCAGGGAGTAGAGAACTGGCAGAGCGGTTGTCATGACAGGAAGGAGAAGAGTCTCTTGAAAGAGGTGTTGTTTGTTGCTCAGATGTCCCCAAGGTGATGAGAGGAAGACGAGGACCTTGGTCTTGGAGACAAGGATACTGGTAACCTTCCGAAGAGCAGTTCCAAGGAGAGTCAGTGATCCAGAAAGTTGTCAGTGAAGTAGGCAGAGATAAAGCGACCAACCAAAAAATACTTGACTAGCTCATAAGGAAAGACAGTCAAATTATTATAATGATAAGAAGCTTTTTTTTTTGGTTTTTAAACCCACGAGATTGGTAAATATTAACTAAGCATCAATGGCTGGTGAAGGAATGGTGAAACAGACACCTCTGTGTTGGTCATGGAAACAAAAAGGGCCAGAACTTTTGAAACATTCATACTGGGAAATTTGACAGTAGCTGTCAAGCTTAGAAATCTATAAACCCTCCGTCTGTTAGTTTTATTTTCAATATTCTGTTTTAAAAAATTTTTCTAATTTCTAATTTTTATGATATGGAGTATAGATCTACCTACCAAGATGTGTATGGATGTTTGTAACAAGGAAAAGATCATTGTTTGTAACAAGGAAAACTCATAAATGACCTGAATATACAAAGATGGAGAATTTGTTAAATTATGACCTAAGTTGTTTGGCAGAATGCTCTGTAGCACTTAGAGTAAGTTGATCTTCAAAGAGTTCCAGGGGTTGTGAAAAGCAAGATAATCACACATATACATGTGTGGTAGTACAGGGGGGTAGAGTTGTGTGTGCGTTTACAAATGTACACACATGAGGCTTTGTATATGCGAAACCTAACAGTGTATCTCTAAAGAAGAGTCTAATCAATCTGTTAGGCAGAGATAGAAGGCTTTACTTTTCCTTTTCACTGTTCGAATTTTTACTTTTCTCCTTCGTTTTATTAATAACAATTAAAAACTTGTTTACATCATTTAAAAAGTTACCTAAGAAAGTCATTGGCACAGGAGAAAGAAGTTTCAGTTGGGGCTCAGTGCCCATAATGGCACAGTGGTTACAGCACCAGCCACATACCCTGAAGTTGACAGGTTCAAACCTGGGCCTGCTAACCAACAATGACAACTACAACAAAAAATAGCCCGGCATTGTGGTGGGCTCCTGTAGTCCCAGCTACCTGGGAGGCTGAGGCAAGAGAATCACTTGAGCCTAAGAGTTTGAGGTTGCTGTGAGCTGTGATACCACAGCACTCTGCCGAGGGTGACATAATGAGACTCTGTCTCAAAAAAAAAAAGCAGTTTCAGTTGGTTGTCTAGGAGAACTGAAGGTTGTTTAAAATTTGTTTAATATTAATTTTTAGAGCAGAGGAGCTTTAGGCAAAAGGCAAGCAGGTGACAGACAAAAAAAGCCCTGGGAGTGATTGGGAAATGAGGACTGCATTGCAGTAGGCTCTTGAGGTTGGGGGTGAAGGTGGAGGGATACTGAGTTTGACTGAATTTCAGAGCTAGAAGCCGTGCTGTAATCAGGGTACTTGAGTTGGACCAGGAAGCGTTGAGTTTGTTTTTACTGCCTTGGGGCTTTTGGATCTGTGGGCAGAAGTTGTCATTTCACATGTGAAAGAGTGATTGTTGCAAAGGCATCATAGCTGCCACCTTTACTGAGAGTTTGCTCTGTGCCAGACTCTCAGGCCTGAGCAACTGGTGTGAAATTTAGTTTAATCTTTGCAACAATCTCAGCAGGTAGAGGCCATTTTACAGATTGGGACATAATGACTTAGTCATTTTGGATTGCTGTAACAAAGCACCATAGACTTGGTGGCTTATAAACATTTCCCTTCCCCCTCTCAAGTGGAATCTAGTGTCCTATATATTAAGTTCAGAAAGGAAAAAGGAGAAAAAAGAAGAAAAAAGAAGAAAAAAATGCAGTAGTGTTTTGACTGATATTGATAATCTTTTTAAGAGCAACTGTTGTCCAAGGGAAAACAGTTTATGTTTAGCCCCTCAGGTCTGTGATAATAGGGAGTGTCTGTCCAGATCAGCTGGGAAGCAGGTGCCACGCCCATTTCTTTACCCAGGCAACTATTTCCCCCTCCCAACTGAATGACCCAGGGCCTTTTATCTGGGATTTAAAGAGGAGAGACAGACCTAGCAGATAATAATGCTGGCTCCAGTTCCCTACAGAGCCCTTTGTGGTGACTGTTACCTTGGGGCTCACAGATGACAGAAAACGTTGGCCTCAGGGAAATGCTGGTCTAGTGTCAGAGAAGGTACAAACACCCAGCAAAAAGAAATAGCTGTAGGATATCCATTGAGATGGAGACACCCAACAAAACAATTTTATGGTTAGGGGTCACCACAACGTGAGGAACTGCATTAAAGGGTCAAGGCATTAAGAAGGTTGAGAACCACTGCTCTAGGGGATTCTGGAGGCTGGAGGAGGTGCTCTCCTGGGCTTCTGCAGGTCCCTTAGATAAGAAGGTGGAGTTTGAAGTGAGCCCTGGAGGGGTATTACCAGCCACCTTAAAAGTGTATCTATTAATAGTAAGTGCTTAGCTGGTGCTCCTTGAAACTTAGCACTGCCAGCAGATTCTACAGAGTAGGACCAGGGGCGCAGACTAACACAGCCTGCCCAGAGTCCACAGCCAGGATGCCATGGCACCGAGTGGAACTCCAGTCTGC